ACAAGACTCTATATGAACTGGTGAATGGAAGGAAGCCCAAGCTAACATATCTAAGGACTTTTGGGTGTAAATGCTTTGTTCTCAACAATGGAAAGGAAGACCTTGGAAAATTTGATGCCAAAAGTGATGAAGGAATCTTTCTGGGATACTCATCTCAAAGCAAAGCTCACAAGGTATACAACAAAATGACTTAATGTGTTGATGAAAGTATACATGTGATCTTTGATGAATCTTACCTCTCCTGTGAGAAACACAGACATGCTAATCAAGATGGAGAACCTTTATCTGTTCTGGGAGAAGTTATTGACATGGAAAATAGAAAAGCAGACATGGTGAGTCATGTAAAGGAATCCAGTAAAGATGATGCGAGTACACCTCCATCTATTGGAGAGGAACCTGGTCCCCTGATCACACCAACTTAAGCTAAAAATAGAGTTGTTGATGCAGTCCAAGGTACTTCACTTGTTGAAGTAAGAAGCTCCCAAGAAGCTCAGTCAGACATACCTGAGTCCGCTGCCAATGAGATTCAGGCACCAAATTGGAAGCACAAAAGCTCACATCCTCTTGACAACATAATCACCTCTCTTGACTTAGGAATTCAAACCAGATCAAAATCAAGAAACTCACTTGGAAAAGGCATTGTATGGGCTATAGCAGGCTCCCGGGCTTGGTATAAAAGGTTATCAAAGTTTCTTTTAGAAAATGGCATTACTAGAGGGAAAATTAACAACACTATATTTCTGAAGAAACGAGGGAGGAACCTGCTCATTGTTCAGGTATATGTTGATGATATCATTTCTGGAGCCACAACTGACTCTCTTTGCGAAAAGTTTGCAAAACTCATGGGGAGTGAGTTTGAGATGAGTATGATGGGAGAATTAAATTTCTTCTTGGGACTTCAAGTGAAGCAATCTCAAAAGGGAACAATGATAAATCAGCAGAAGTACATCAAGGAGCTGCCAAAAAGGTTTGACATGAAACTTCAAAAGTTATTGACACTCCTATTTCCACAGCTACTCATCTAGACATGGATGAGCTTGGTTCTCCTGTAAATCAGACCATGTATAGAGGGATCATAGGGTCACTCTTGTATCTCACTACAAGCAGACCATATATTGTGTTCAGCGTGGGCCTTTGTGCAAGGTTTCAATCCAATCCAAAGGAATCTCATCTGAAGGTTGCCAAGAGAATATTGAGATATCTCAAAGGAACACAGGACCTGGTTCTCTACTATCCATCATGTGACAGCTTTAATCTTATTGGGTATGCTGATGCTGATTATGCAAGATATCTGGTGGACAGGAAAAGCACGTCTGGAATGGCACATTTCCTGGGTTCTTCCCAAAAAACTGCCACCGTTTCATAATCCTCACATCAAACTTCAAAATGTTCACCTCTCCTTTTCTCTTCTCAAACCACTAATCTCTCTAGTAAAGTCCACCATGACCGAGAATCAAGAAAACCCTAGTGTTCTCAGTGACACATCCATCGAGTCCACACCAATTGAAACACCAATAATAGACTCCTCACTCAACACAACCACCAGTCTAAACCCTAAGGTCGAGTCTCCCCCATACTCAGTCTCCCCACCTACCCACTCAAGTTCTGGTTCTCATCGAAGTTGCAAAACCTCGACTCCGAAAAAAGTTTGTGGCTACCAGCTCTCCTCCAGTCTCGCCAAAAAAGCAAGGTGAACAGGGTAACATAGTCGAAGAGGGAAATAAGGAAATCCCCAATCTCGCTATGGAAGAGAATTCAAGTAAAGACCAAGCGGTTGGTCCTGACAATGCTGATACAACCACGATAGGTCTTGAGTCTACAGATAACACTCCTCCTTCTCTTGAGATTTCCATGGAACCACAAGAAAAAGAGGCAATAGAAAACATGCTCTCCATAGCTGCTGAAGGGGCATTTGTTGAGGAAGGTATAGAGGGGTCTGAACCTTAGAGGGAAGAGCCTCAGGCCACAGTAGATGGGAGAAAGCTTGTGCCAGTTGAAAAAGTAGCACAGGATGATACTACTGGGGTCCCTAATGATGGACATGATCCCTCCACGGAGGATCCAACTCAGGGGTCATCTACCCAGGTCAGTATTGATCCTGCGCCCTCTCCCCATTTTTATGCTGAGCCCCTGTATATGATGATTCCTGAGATGTGGTCTAATAGTGAAGAAGATTTAGACGATTTGGTGATTGCTAGCTTTATCAGGGCTAGGAGTAAGCCAGTTTCAACTCCTTATCCAACTCCTAAGCGACCCACTACAAGGTTGCAAAAGAAGGAGGCTCTCGAGTCTGCTCTTAAGAAATGTCAGAGTCAAAGAAGGAGAAAGTTGGTAAAGGATGGCAAAATAGTACTTGAAAAGGTTTTTCCTGTTGTCAATATGGATGAGGAAGTAGAAAAGGAACCTAGTTCCTTGACTCATAAGCCCTCAAAGAAGAAGCACTCTCTCTCCAAATCCAAAAAGAACATTTCTGTAAGTGTTGAGAGTCCATCCAAGAGTGCTGATGCTATTTCCAGTTAAACGTTTGTGAAAACATCTGGTGAAAATATAGTGAAAGAGAGTGGAGGAAAATTTGATGATGAAGTGGTGGAAGATTCTGGTGAACATGTGTCTGAAAAGTCAGTAGAGAAGGGAAAGTGTACTCACAAGTCAGTGAAGAGAAAAATGGATGTTGATGAGGTTCCTCCAACAAAGCAAAGGTTGACGAATCCCAAAGTTCTGGGAAAGGAAAGTTGAGAAATCAGAAGGTACTGTGGGGCCGCACTTTTGCCCCTAACATTGTGGAGCTTGCCGGGATGCGACAGTTAGTGGAATTTTTTGATTTTCAACAATGGACTCATTTGTTTAAAAATGATGTTCCAAAAGTGTATGAGGAGGAAGTGCGGAGTTTCTATGTCGACTTCTTCAGAGTTGAAGATGATCACATCTGTGTGTTGGTGAATGGGGTTGACATAGTGACGCACTCTGACCTTGTTGGTGTCAATTCTGGGTGTTCCTGCTAAAGGGTTGTCATCTTTTCAAGGCGCCTTCTCTTCCAATTTCAAAAATGCCATAGTTAAGGACAAGGCAATCCAGCAGAGGGAACGGGTGCATAAGAAGGCACTCCTTCCAGTATATTAGTTGCTCTTTGAGATGGTTAACAAAGTGTTGCTTGCCCGCACTGAGAGGAGATCTATTACGTCCAAAGCCGACCTGATCCTTATGGAAGCCTTGGATGGCTTCACCACCATCAATCTGCCTGGGATAATGATTGAGCATATGCAAAAAGTGGCAGACTTTAAGGATGGCAACCATGGACTACCTTATGGGTTTATTCTCACAAAGGTCTTCGAGTTCTTTAAAGTACCTCTGGGATAGGCCAAAGTGGGCATTAAAAAGCAAACTTTCTCCAAGACCACTCTTGAGGAGTGTGAGTGTATTGACAAGGTCGGAGAAGTTGGAAGCACCTCTACTATCTCTCAACTGATACATGCTCAGAATAGTGCTACAGAGGAGATCAAGAAGTTAAAGGCAATGAACGCAATTCTTGAGAGTCAGCTCAGTCAGCTACAAGAGGCACCTGGTTCCGGTAGTTCTCACAGCTCAGAGGTTGCCCGCCGGACTAAGGAGAATGCTGAGCTCAGGAAACCAGTAGAGGACCTGAAAGAAAGACTTCTCAATGAGAACATGTCCGCGAATTCTCGCATGGATCTTGTCCTTAAATCCCTTGTCCCTTCCTCTAAGCCCTCTTCCTCCAGTGTCCCCTAAGCAGTGTCCAGTTTTCCAGGGTCCGTCTCTTATGAATGTTTATGATGGTGTCTTTGTTGTTGGTACTTGTTTTTGTTTTGTTTTTGAATTGTGGATGGTAACATTGAATCTGCTTTCGCTGTAAAATCCAAACTGGTTTATGCAAGCTTTTCCCCTTTTATCGTGTATACAGTTGTTCTTTTGTCTCTGTTTTCTATCATGTTATGTGCACACAAGTGGCATGAGTTAACTACGCTGGACTTTTTTCTACTTTTACTTGGTTTTTTTCTTTTTATGATGCCAAAAAAGGGAAGAATTTATGCATAATTGAATGATGTGCACTGATTAAGGGGGAATACAACCTTCCTGGTTCACTGTCTGGTTATTTGTGGTTCCGTATCTGGCCGTCTATAGCACTGATCGGTAGAGTATAATAGATACTTATGTATAAGTACAATGCATGGTTATATTCAAGAGATACTAAGGTTTCATTAAAACGTAATAGAATCATACTTTCCAACCTCAAGACACCATCTGGGAATATTTTAGACTTTAAAAGACAGATACCGGTAAAACTATACAAGAACAAGAAAACGTTATTAAGAAGGGCTTAAAGAAAACCAATTTGCAACACTATATCCTTTAGATGGAGAGATAAACTTACACCAAATCATGCCAAGAAGGAAATTTGTCATATATGCCTTGTTGAAGAACTAGCTACATTTCCCTGAATTCCTATGCCTTCTTGGTGATTAACTCAGCCTCCAACGAGTCTTCAAAAATCAAGATAACATATGTTACAGTGATGATCCAAAGCTTCTTCACGCTAAATCCTATTAGATTCACCTTCTACTTAGCCTTGGACTATTTGGGGAAATCTATAGGGGGTTTGAGAGCATTTTGGGAGAACTAATGTTGGTGATGTCTTCTCGAATGAGAGAGATAAAGGGCTATCCTGCCTTTTTATAATATAGCATGCCTAGGAAATACTGTCGCCCTCATATGAAAAATGGGTCTCCCCGCCCTACCCCGGCTACTGCACTCGGTGGGATAGCTGGCGCACTCTGGTCAACTGAATCTACCTCTCTGTCCGGTAACGTACTGCTAGATGATTGGTTGAATCAAACCCTTGTTAATCCTTAACTCCATATATAGGGGAGTAGTGTGAGGTGTAACATCATCCCCTCCTTCGGAACATTCATCCTCGAATGTTGAATCGTAGTCACTTCTTGCAAATTTCTTTAGTCATTTAGGGTTGTACCCACCAGAGTGGTCTAATTGTTGCCTCCTGTAGCATGGAACAAATGGGGGTACCTAGTTTTCTTGTCTTCCTCAGCTTTCCAGGTTATTTCTTCTACATTATTGTTCCTCCAAATTACTTTAACTGAAGTAACGTCTTTGGTTCGCAGTTTACGCACTTGACGATCTAGGATAGCTACTAAGACTTCTTCGTAAGATAAGTCCTTCGTAACTTGAATATCTTCAATAAGGGTAATACGAGATGAATCACTCAACCATTTTTGGAGAATAAACATGTGGAATACCAGATGCTTTACTTCTAATTCCTGGGGCAACTCAAGCTTATAAGCCACTTGACCGACTTTCTAAATAATTTGATATAGCCCAATATACCGGGGACTGAGTTTGCCCTTCTTATCAAACCTCATCACGCCTTTCATAGAAGACACCCTTAGGAATACCCAGTCTCCCACGGCAAACTCCAAATCTCATCATCGGGTATCGGAGTAAGACTTTTGCCTGCTTTGAATGGTCAATAAATGACCTCAAATCATTTTCACCTTTTCTATAGTCTGTTGCACCAACTCAGGACCCAATAACATTGTTTCACCAACTTCAAACTAGCTGACAGGAGATCTACACTTTTGTTTGTATAGGGCCTCATACGGTGCCATCTGAATGCTAGCATGGTAGCTGTTGTTATAAGAAAATTTGATGAGCGGTAGATGATCCTCCCAATTTCCTTTGAAGTCCAAAACACACGCACGTAGCATGCCTCGAGTGTTTGAGTAGTACGTTCGACCTGACCATCCATTTGTGGATGAAAAGTTGTGCTAAGGTTGATTCTCGTGCCCAATCCCCTTTGAAATGATCTCTCAAAGTTGGTCGTAAACTGGGCACCTCTGTGTATTAGGATTAAGATCAGAGCTCCATGAATCCGAACTATTTTCTTGATATATAACTTAGCATAATCTTCAGCTAAGAAGGTAGTCTTAATTGGTAGGAAGTGAGCTGACTTGGTGAGTTGATCTACGATAACCCATATGGAATCGAATCTTCGGCGTGATTGCGGTAATCCGATAACAAAATCCATGTATCATCTCCCATTTCCAGGTTGGAATTTCCATATTTTGAAGCAATCTTCATAGTTTCTGGTATTCAACCTTAACCTATTGGAAATTTGGACATTGGGCGACACATTCAGCAATGTTCCTCTTCATGTCGTTCCACCAGTATAACTTTCGAAGATCGTGGTACATCTTGGTTGACCCTGGATGAATAGAATATCGGGACCGATGACTCTCTGCCATGATCTACTCTAGGAGTTCCCCGACATCGGGCACGCATAACCGGTCGTGGTATCTAAGGTCTCCATCCTCGGATAGCTCGAACACTTGCTTCTTTTGAAAGGGAATGCTTTCTCTAATTTTTACCAAGACTGGATCATTAAATTGTCTTGCATTTACTTCCGCCACTAGCAAAGATTCGGCAGCGTTTCAAACTGTGGCTCCTCCTTTACTGGTATCGATCAATCGTATACTTAAGTTAACCAACTATATAAGTCTTTGGTCATCTCTAATTTAGGCTTTTTCACATGTCGTAGACTGCCCGTGGATTTTTGGCTTAGCATATCAGCCACGATGTTTGCCTTCCCGGGGTGGTACATAATATCAACACCATAATCGTTTAATAAATCAAGCTACCTCTACTGCCTCCGATTTAATTCCTTTTGCTTGAATATGTACTGCAAGCTCTTGTGAATAGTGAATATGTCAACACAAACTCCATACATATAGTGACACCATATTTTCAAAGAAAATATAACAACTAATAGCTCAAAGTCGTGAGTGGGTAAGTTCTGCTCGTGTTTTCTTTGTTATCTCGAAGCATAAGAGACAACTATCCCATGTTGCATTATAACACTGCCCAATTCCACTCCAGAGGCATCATACTATATAACGTACCCCTGGGGCCGTTCAGGAAGAGTTAGAACTGGCACAAAGGTTAACCTATCCTTTAACTCGTGGAAGCTCTTCTCATAAATATCGGTCCACCAGAATTTTTCCGCCTTATGCATCAACTTCATTAGCGGAGCAGCTATAGATGATAAAGTTTCCACAAACCTTCAGTAATAACCAGCTAACCCAAGAAGCGGCATACCTCGATAGGAGTTAGGGGCCTTGGTACCCTCATTTGGAAAATAGGCCTAAAATAGGCCACCGAGTTTAACCAGAACTCGCATTTGGAAAATTTGGTGTACAACTAGTGAAACCGGAGTGTGCGTAAAACCATTCGCAAATGCTCTGCATGCTCTGCTTCTGATCAAGAATATACCTAGATATTATTTATGAACACGATCACAAAGATATCCAAGAATAACCTGAATACCTTATTCATCAAATCCATAAAAGCTGTTGGTGTATTGGTTAGGCCAAAGGACATAACATGAAGCTCGTAATGGCCATATCTGGCCTGAAAGGCTATCTTCAGAACATCTTCTTCCCTGATTCTCAACTGATGATACTCAGATCTGAGATTGATCTTGGAAATTTTTTTAGCGCCATGTAACTGATCAAACAAATCATCAATTCTTGGGAGCGGAAGCTTGTTCTTAATGGTCACCTTATTCAGCTGTCGATAATCAATTTACATCCTTAATGAACCATCTTTCTTTCGAACAAATAGAATTGGGGCTCCCCACGGGGAAGTACTGGGTCAGATAAAGCTGTTATCAAGAAGGTCCTTTAACTGATATTTTAGTTCCTTCAACTCGGCAGGAGCCATCCCGTACAGGGGAATACATATATCAGATGGCAGATCGATGGAAAACTCGATCTCTCTCTCTCTCGGGTGGAATACCCAGGAACTCATCGGGGAGCACATCAGGAAATTCACTAACAACTGGAACCGATTGAAGGGTTGGGGACTTCGCACCCGCATCTAGCACCCGTACCAAATAATAGAACCATCCTTTCATGATCATCTTTCGAGCCTTCAGGTAAGAAATTAACTTCCCTCTTGGTGCTGCCACATTTCCCTTCATTTCGATAACGGGATCTCCCGGAAAGTTAAAGCGAACAACTTTCTTCCAACAATCCATCGTAGCATAATAAGAATCCAGCAAATCCATACCCATAATAACATCATATTCTACCATTTATAATTCATTTAAATTAGATATGGTATGGTGATCATTAATCATCACATCAATCCTCGATATACCCTCCTAACTACTACGGACTCTCCCACAAGCATGGACACTTCAAACGGTTGTCGTAACAATTCAGGTTCTTTACCATATTTACCAGTGACAAATGGAGAAATGTACGACAAAGTGGAACCTAGATCTATCAAATCATATACATTAATGGAGAATACAGATAGTATACCTGTGACTACATCTGCTGATGACTATAGGCAGCTCCCGTTGGCAGTATCACGCCACCCACATTTCTCACTAGGAAAAAATGCATGATATGACCCGGCTAACCAGAAGAATAACACATATTTTGAACCCTAATGGAAATGCCCAAAAGGATTTCTACCACATCGGCCACAATGCGGCATTGAGGGTCTCGATCTACTAGAATCCCCACTATTCTGTGAGCTCTATCCTCGGGAATTCTAGCCTTGACCAAAATAAGTGGCCCATTCTCGACGCTAGCCATGGGACTGTGATGGCTCTTTAGCCACTGAATTAGGTTAATTCCAAGAAAGCATAGGTCTAAACCCGCCTCGATACTCTCTTGTATCACTCATGGACCGGGCTATCTTAGATTAGCCCTGATTGTGTTCTTGAGCAGATCGTTGTAGCCTTTTGTGATCCTCCAAGTTCAGCGCATAAGCTTGAATACGAGAAATATCCATAATCAGATTCAAAGAAGTTGTGGTACATTTATTTATCAGATGTGATCCCAATCCACTCACAAATCTACGTACCCGGTCACTTATCTTAGCCACCGGAAAAGGAGCATACCTAGCCCAGTAGATAAATTGCATACTATACTCTTATAAACTCATATAACCTTGCTCTAACCATAAGAATATATCTTGTCTCACTTGGTGGAGCTCAATAGGCAAATACTGCTGCAATAATGTCTTAGAAAATTCCCTCCATCCTACTACTGGGGCAAGAGTTTCCCTAGAGTGTTCCCACATCTCATACCAAATCATGGCTATATATCGTAATCAGAGGAAAGTTCTACAGACTCAGTGTCAGTGGCATGCAGGTCCGCTGCATTTGATCTAGAAAATTCAGGGGATCTTCGGTTGGATTTGTTCCTGTGAATACCGGGGAATCCAAATTTATGAAATCCTGAACTCTCATACTAACTGATCTTTCTGAGGTGGAAAGGGCTTGACGTTAGGCCTGAGAGTCCACTAATCGAGTCAGCAGCTGTACCACACTTCTCATATCTAAATCTTAGTCAGAACCAACCGGGGAGGAACAGCAAGTACACTAGTTCCTCTTTGTTGTTCTGAGGGTAGTGGTGTTGTCCCCAAAACCTGAGTACCACTCTCATTAGGAGTTTCATGTTGATTCATTGGGGCAAGTGGAACCTGATTAGTACCCTCCCCTAATTTATCATTCAATCCCTGAACAATTTCCTTACGTCTCATGGTAGGCATCGCAATAAACACAAATAAGATTAGGATTAGAAATGAATACCTATGACTCAGCTCTATCGCATGATCTAGATCAGAAAGAAAGGCATCCACACTAAATATCCCGTAGTCTCCTATTTATAACTATGGTGCATGAAATACCCATAAACAAGACTATACTAGATATGGCTTGCAGACTCCCTAGAACACGACCTACTCTGATAACAAGTTTGTCACACCCCAACCTCAGGAGGTGCGACTAGCACATGATGCCCGAAGGCTCGTGCGAACCGACGTTCATGCTTACACCAATTTAACCATAAGATCTGGGCCAACAAGGCTCCAAGTAACAATACCAGATATTTTAAAATTGTACATAACTGATTGAGAAGGAATCATTTACCAACATGGTCATAACCAACCATTAAATATAACTAAACATTAGTCTGCAAGCCTCTAAGAGTGCTAAAACATAGTACATGACTTGGTCAGGACAGGGCCCCGCCGTACCCAAAGTAACTTAAATATACACTTCGGTACCTATTGACTTTTGAACTGCTACTCAGATGAAGTGGAGTGCAACAAACAACAACTGGGACAAAAACCCAACTAGGGAGGGATGTCACCGGGTCTATCTGCACCTATGGTAATGAACACAGTGCCCAAAAGAAAAGGGCGTCAGTACGGAAAATATACTATGTAAGACTCAAAAGATATGTAAATCCATGACATAACATAAGAGATATGGATACACATTTTCAACCTGGATACCGAAGACAAGCCAACGAGGGCGTAAACTGTGGAAACCATAAAACTTAAAGTGTGCAAGTTTTATAAACCACTCATAGAGATTATGCACTAAACATATTAAAATATTACCCATCCACTATTTGGGGCATGTCATTCATATCATACCTAGCGTTGTAGAGGACTCGGTAAAGTTTATTTTCTCCATCACATCGTACCCAGCCTCAGGAGATCTCGATTGCACCTGACCTCAAGAGATCTTAATCGTACCTGGTCACTCAAGGGCTCAATAATGTATCATAGCACATCATTCCGTACCCGGCCTCATAAAGAGCTCGGTCATACCCGACCACACAAGGGCTCGATTGTACCCGGCCACTCAAGGGCTTGGTGATATTTCACATTTTGTCTCATCATACCCAACTGATATGTGGTTGCACAATAGGTGTCGTACCCAACCGTCTATAGTGCGGCTCGGTAGAGTAAAATAGATACATATGTATAAGTGCAATGCATGGTCATTTTCAAGAGACACTAAGGTTTCACTTAAACGTATCATATTCATACTTTCCAACCTCAAGACGTTGTTTGGAAACTTCTCAGACTTTAAAAGAAAGATAAACAAGAACAAGAACAACATTATTGAGAAGGGTTTAGAGCAAAAAAATTTCCAATATAGAAATCCTTTAGAGGGATAGAGAGACTTACACCAAATCTTGTGAAGAAGAAAAGTTGCCTTACATACCTTGTTGACGAACTATCTACATTTTCCTGAATTCCTACACCTTTGCAGTGATTAACTCAGCCTCTAATGAGTCTCCAAAAATCAAGATAACGGGTTTTACAGTGATGATCCAAAGATTATTTATGCTAAATCCTACTAGATTCACTTTCGACTTAGCCTTGGACTGTTTGGGAATTCTAGAGTGGGTTTGAGAGCATTTTAGAAGAACTAATGTTGGTGATGTCTTTTAGAATGAGAGAGAGAAAGGGCTACACTGCCTTCTTATATTATACCTTCATAGGAAATTATGTCATCCTCACATGCAAAATGGGTCGTCCTGCCCTAGCTGATGCACCTGATGGGACATCTGGTGCACTCTGGTAAATTGAATCTACCTTTATGTCCGATAATATGCTGCCAGCTGATTAGTAGAACCAAAACCTTGTTAATCCTTAACTCCATATATAGGGTAGTAGTGTGAGTTGTAATAGATATATCCATGACTTGAAATAAAACTAGAAATTCAATAGGTCCAATTTGTAATGTCAGATATATTTCTCCAATAACATATTTATGTGAACCGTCACATTGCTCTCCTAAATTTCTCCCATGACGATACTCAATTCTCATAGAGTGGATAAAGGGCAAATGTTGACCCCAAATCCTCCGTTGATGAGTACTTTGGATACAATCTTATCTCCACACTTAACAGTAACATGGAGAGCTTTGTTATGATCCAATCCTTCTGAGTGGAATTCATCCATCTGATAGGACACCTTATTCGCTTCCACCATCTACCATATGATTGCAGTTAATACTTCACTGGTAGCATTAGTTGGCACACTCACTCCACTCAACACTTTTACCAAAACATCCCTATGAACGTCAAAGCTTAAAAGTAGATCCAAATAGATATTTGTGTCGGGGTTTTCTTCAACTGCTCTTCAGTGGAGTATCTTTTGCTGGCATCTTCTTCCAAAATTTTGATGCCTCTGTATTAGTGACATTCTTCTCTGATTTTTCTTCCTTCCAAGGTTTTTGCTACTCTGGTCCTCAGGAACATAATATCTACTTGACCTGATCATTCTATGGGTGGCTACGATTTCTGTCATTTTACCTTTCCTTTTTGGCTGATAAGCCCATGGAACTGCTTTGCAATCACAACTTGATTCTCCTTTGATTGTAATGGCTATCATAGGTTTATTTTGGTAAATTTGGGCTGTCACATGTGACTTCAATTGCACTGTGATTACTGAAGCTGTACTAGAGATCACGACAGTCACTTATGTGTTTCCAATTGTTACAATGGTGCCCTTCAAATCATAGTCCTCCTCCAAGGTTATCATGTTTGCCCCCCCTGTTTGTGTGATTTGGCAATAGATTATGGTTCACATTAGGGGGTTATGAGGTACATTGAATTGACCTACTCTTAATCAATATTTCAATCTCCTACCTCAAACTACAATAGTTATTTGTGTCATGCCCATGCACTCCTGAGTCAAAATCACAACATTTGTTTTCATTGAAGTTCATTGAGAATGAATCATGAATCCTACCTACAATTGGACACAGTTGTCCTTCTCTTTATAATAAGAAGTCAAGTCAATAATAATAGAACTGGAGGAGTGAAAGCCATTTGACTGTAAGGAAAGGAGCGAAAAGACAGGATGGCTTGGTAAGCAAGCAATCCGTTATGTGGGCGTCAACTCCAAGTTCCTTCTATTCTTTCTTTTTTCAAGTCATGATCAGAATGATGACATTCTTTTTTTATTTAGAAAGGATAAGGGAAAAAGCCAATTTGCACCACCATCCTTCCCCAAAGATTCGGTTAGTGTGCATAGACTTCTACTTTCCTTAGGCGATGGTGTCAGGAAACAATGTGAAGTCACCCCTATTTTGCCGTCCAGGGAGCACAACCAACCCTTCACGCACGAGATAGCAATGATAGAAGATTGACCAGTTGTGTTTAAGTGCTTCTCCTACCGCGACTACCTCTCTATTTTCAAAAGTATATAGAAATAATAGGCACTAGGAGAGAGTGAACTACCCTGGGAGAAAGGGGCAACCTGTCTTCCTACTCA